CACCTCCGACGCGACGGGGCTATTGAAGGAGCTGCGAGAACTGAGTGTGTCGGAGATCTTATCGCATTGGGTGAGCCAGGGACCGGTGAGAATGTCGAGCCTCCGTCAAAATGCGATAGAAAAACGAGGGACGAAAAACTAGGATGGCAGAATCTCGTTTGACCATCAGTTCAGCGCGAGGCGGTTCTCGTTTGACGAAACGAGGCATGGGACCATCCACGCGCCAACGGAACGAAAGCAGAAAATAGAAACTAGCTCGAGTAGATTCGAAGTCCCTGCGCACGAATAAGCCACCCAACGCCTCCCCCCAATCGAATTTTTCAGCACAAAGCTCTGACGTGTTGATAAATTGACGGACGACAAGGCAGGAAAGGGATGACGAGTTTGACGTAATGGCTCACGGTGCCTTCGACCAGCAGCGACGGCGGTCACACTTCGTCCGCACGAGAACCACGGTACAGAAAGACGAAGATCGCGTTACAATCAACGGCTCGTCAGCGAATACCGTAGAAATCGAAACGCCTCGGGTCGGCCGCAACTCGTGTCGTCGACTCGCCAATCCGCGGGAGCACTTTTCACAGATAACGGGCCGTATCGCCCGATTCTCAGCTACCTATTATGATTCGGGTGTAATTTCACGCATTTCTCGGTGGGTGACAAGGCTCCGGAAACCTCGAGGACTTCAGATCAGGCTCCTAGCTGTGCATCCGTCGTCGAGAGAAGCTCACAGTGACGTCGGCAGGCGTCGACTTAGAATTCCACAGTCATCGTCCTCATGGTTGAGCGCATATCAAGCGGTTGCGGGCATTGTTTCGCTAAGAGAAAGCTGTCGGCGCTCTTCACAGAGCAGAAAAACGGGAAACAAAATATTCTTGATGATTCCGTGGGGTACAGCTCTGTTACATATGCGAGCGTCGAGTAACAGATAAAGTAAACATTCGAACAAAGGCTTCTTGCTGTGTTTTCTAGCGAAGTCCGAGAATAATTCAATGACTAACACGCGAACTGCTCAGCGGAGCGCAGTCGATACATTCCGAGGTGTATATCTAATTTCCCGAGGCATGAAATGTCGAGCACGTTCGCGGAGAACTTCGCGAAGAGAGTCGATCTAGTATATGGCCCATCCGCGGCATGTCGTTTCCTGGTTGCTGAAGAGAATTACTCTGGACTCTCTTGGAGCCTTTTTATGATTCTGATGACGCGCTCAGCACAATGTGATTCACAATCGGCAGCATCTCGCTCTCGAGAACTTTTGCTCGGAATTTTCCGAATCAGCATTCAAAAGAAACTTCGTAGATCCACCGCGGATCATAATCATCGGACGGACGAAAATCTCATCCCCCTCCGAAACGTGCAGGGCGACCTCCACGTGGTCTCGAGCGCTCACGGATCCGTCAGAGTCATTTACCCCGAAACCCCTTCTCACCACAGTCCACTCGAGAATGCCGAAGGAGATCCGACCGTACCTACTTTGGCGCTGAAGCCCATCAAAGGCTTCCCTAGCGGGGTCGCCGGAGGGCGAGGAATGTTGAAAAATACGAACCTCTGGGGCTATCGCGGAGAAGACGAATTCCGGAGGAGAATCGTTGATCCCAAGCATCAAGTTTTGCGAGCTGACGCGTTTTCGGTCACTAGAGGACATTTTCGCGTTCGTCTCGGGAGAAAGCAGAGCAAACAACCTAAACAAAATGAGCTTGGAAGAATATCTTTCGGCAGCTTATTCTGCTCCCCTTCAGAAAATGATCTGGTGAAGTCGTCTCAGATGGTTGCTGAATGCTTGTTTCGACAATTGACATCTCGGCGCTTCCTCGATCATGAACGACTTCTTCTTCGTTTTTGAAGTTGTTCAGATGATGCATCGGGGTTCCCGTCGCGCTCGAAAGCTCATATGTCCGCTCAGTCGTTATCCCGGTCATTGGAGTCTTTCGCTTCGGGGAGCTCTTTCGCGTCGTGGCTGACCTACCCGATCACTCGGATTCCCTCCGGAACTCTCGCAGCTGTGAGGCTAGAGCTCCATGAGACTCGGTCGTGCGTTACAGGAGTTTCCAGATTTCTGCCAGAGATCATTCGCTATGCGACTCTCTTTTTTTTGTTGTAAACACGTGACATCGCCGTCGCGCGAGGATCTACATATTCTCTCATTCGATCTGTGAAGTATCTCGCAGAAGGTATATTGTATTTGGACGGGGAGTATGCGTTGAGCGTCCAGTAGCGCCGTTTTCGTGAGACCGACATTTGAATTCGTAATCGGCATGTGAGCCTTCGACCACAATAGAAGCCACGGCTTCACGATCAAGGAAGGCTGTTCACCGGTCGTGCGCCGGATAGTTCGAGGTTGCGTTCAGCCTTCCCACAAGAAACGGAATGGCGATTGAATCAGACGACTGAACAAGCTCTGAGGGCTCTATTACCCTAGAGCCGCTTGAAAAGGTCGCAACATTCTCATCAATGGGCTACTCGCGAAATCGGAGCTCAGAGCAACGATCAGGACACGCAATGCGGAAGCGTGTCCATAATACGCGTCGGACGTGGAGTATTGTTTTCGGTACGTCCACAACGGAGCCGCGGAAGGTTGTTCAGCGGAATTCAAGCTTGCACGAGAACTCAGAGCCTGGTCCCGAAGTCTTGATCTTGAACAACAGGGTGAGGAAGTTTTTCTTCTAGTGGGACTAGTTTCATTGACTCAGTAAATTCAACGGGAAGCCGTCGGAGAGAAAACTGACAAGTTTGAAAATCATCACCCAGGGCAAAAATGTTCAAAATGAGAACAGGAATAGAGCGGAGGGGGGCGCTCTGTAATGAGAACGGAAGGTGATTCCTCGTCGGGTGAGAACGCGATCTGGGGCTTTCCTGGCCAAAAAATTCCATTCTCAACTGAGTTTTTTTGGCGAAACGTGCCATGGGAGCGCAGACATTATTTTCTTGGATGAGTTACTCAACCACAAAACACATCTCACTTCTCCTCGTCCCTATCACCGCTGATATCTCACATCAGATTTCCGGCCACGAAATCGACGCTGGCGTTCGAAAAAAATTTCAGGAGCTCCTATCTACCCGAAGGCTCTTGTGTTTTGGTCTATGACTTCTCAATTAATATTGTCCGAAACCAAGGACGCGAACAGAAACACGAGTCCTTCCAGTTTCAAGTTCATGGCTGGAGGTATTGGATCCATTTGGAAGAGTTCCTTGGAATTTTCATACAAGATGAGAAACAGCTTCCAGGAAATTGGATTTCCTCCATAAATCATCGCATTCATCGTCGGCGCGGAGTTTCTGGAATACACCCGGAACCTTCGATAAAAATTTATTGATTCGAAACCGCTTGGTTCTCCGTAGACAACCAGAGTCCATGTCAGATTAATGTTCTTTATCGTATGATCCCCTTGAATCGGGGCTCGAGCCCTTGAGGCCCTCGGAATCTTCCCCATGAGAGCAAATATTCGCGTCGATGATATAGCTCAGCAAAGTGTAACCGAAATTGGTATTCCGGTGACACCGTTTCCAAATGACGCTTTGTGCCGGGAGAAATCCGAACACTACGCAAAGGATAGGTTGCGGCGAAAGGTGCGCGGTCTGAACCAGCGGAAGACGTATTGTCTCGGCTTAGCTATTTGGAGCATGCGACATAATTGGCGTATGAGAAGACTTAAGGCATTTTTCCTCAATGCGATTACGTTCGGATTGGTCGAGCGAACGTCTCTCCCGATGGACAGTCTCACGCAACACCGGCATTCGAACAAGCTCGTCTCAGTCACCCGCTCGAAGCCACTTGAAGTAACGACCGCAGTCGCCGCGGCTCCCAGCATTGTTCCGTTGTTCTTTCGGCAGGCCCACGCGGCGAAGCCTGCGTTTCCGACTCAGAAAAGCTTTTTGGCCCAGCAAAAAATAAACCAGCTGCAGTCGATTGACCACGGGGCCAGCCGCCCATCCGCCCTCTGTTGAAACAATTCACTAGGCAGACACACGGGCCGTAGGTCTGTTACAGGAAGATCTAAACAAATTATCTTAGCTCTTCACTCAGCTCGTCCGACCGTCCCTCAGAAGGGATTCCGTGGATTCCGTTGGCCCGTTTTGAAGGCCACGGGACCCTGTGCGAGCGGATTCCGCTGATGACATCGCAGAGGTACTGCCTCCGCACGACATGGAGCCACTGAAGAGACTCTTCACGGGAGAATGGAGAGCTCCAGCGCGCAATCCAGAAAGTCTTACGACACGGAAGAGATGGGAGATGGGCAATCCCTAATTCCAAGGGCGCTGTCGTTAGTTGTCGAACTATACAACCGGCAGAGTTGGGAGGCGACACCGAAATTATCAGTCGAACGAATCGATCCTGGACGATGCGATGCCGAAATATTCTGGCGCGATACTTTTGATCAATTCCGCGGAAATCATCCCAAATGTCTCATCTGGTCTCAATACGTTGAAATTCGGACGGACCAGAAAATACGTCTGGCAGAAACGAGGACCAGAAGCTTAGCGGGCAGCATAACATCTTTCTCTTGTCGAAGGTCTTCACGGAACTATTACTTTCTGCGCGTCCACTTCCAGTCATTGTGGACTTCACCGTGATGATGATCGTCGTCCCATCTCGCTTCATGCTGCTTAATGTTCTCCGCCTTTGTCTTTATCACCGTGTCCGGTGACTGTCGCCAAAAATGTTGGACTCCTTCGCGGTGATGAAATCGAGACCCAATTAATGGACTAGCAACGATGGCATACGACAGTCTCTTGTTACTGGATCCGCCCGAGCTCGGGACCTTGACCACGGGTCCTTCATCGTGCGTACGAGGTCCCCGCGGAGTACGCTCGCAACGCTTGTGTGCTTTTCGGTGCTAAGGTCGCCATCCCCATCCGCATGCCTAAGTAGAAACCACTCCGGGCCAGCACTCAGCCAGTGCTGATTTTCGAGATCAGGAGCAGCATACTGAATCACTGGCTCGTCGATTGGTTCCGCTCACTGTACTCTGCTTGCCTAACCCTTTTATTGGAATTCTTCGCAGGATCTTATGGCGCCACCTACCACGGAGTATATCTCGGAGACGTCGGCGACGGTAGCGTCCACGGCGTTTCCGGAAAAGTTTACCTGTCCAGCAAAAATGAGCTCCACCTCGTCGATTTCAACTACGACGGTGCTGGTCCAGATGCCTTTTTCATGATCGTCAAAGAAGGGAATCCCAGCGGCGAAGGAATTAAGTTGCTCGACGAAAACGGCTCGTGAGTGGATTTATTCACAACGAATTTTCGAATCTCTCACAGATCGTCTCGAATCTTGGTCTCATTTCCGGACGAATAATTCCAGATCCGCCAAGCTCAAGGGCTACAAGAACAAGAACATCTACATTCAGCTGGGTCAGCACGACATCCGAGACGTGAAATACTTCTATGTTTTCTGCATCAAGGCCAATCAGCTGTTCGGGGCTGTTCCCATCAGGAACCCACTGATCCCCGGAGACCAGAGGATCAGCGACGGTCTGCAGGGAGCGCACGGCGTGACTTCAGGACCGATCACCCTGAAGGATTCGCGAACTGTTGTCATCAAGGACTTCAGTTATGACGGAGCAGCACCCGGTGAGTTCAATTATCACGATTAGTCTTCACCCCGTGAAGCAGCGGTCCCTCGCCGCCAAAGGAGACATAGGATAATCCCGAGACAGAGTCGTCGGTACATGATTTTCCTGCACGATTTCTCAGACGCATTCTTCACCGTGGGCACTGGAACGCCATCCACCGACGGAGAGAAACTGCCGAACGAGAAAGGCAGCAGCCAGAAGCTCCCCCGATACTCTAAGCAAACCGTCATGCTGACGCTTCCTCAAGATAAATCCTGGTCAGACTACGACTACCTATCGGTATTCTGCCATCGCGCGCGTCAAGACTTCGCTCACGTTCGAATTCCGCGAGAACAGCTGAGCGTTCCTGTAGCGAGCAGATCAGGTGCGTACGAGACGATCGCGTCGTCCACAGCGATTTTGCTCGCAGCTCTGACGGTCATGATGATCAGACACTAAAAGTCAAAAGGCGCGGTTGCAGGACTCGGGGGCACCACAAAAAGCCCCAAAAAGTCTCCGTTGACAACGCCGGCCTCAAAAAAAGCCCCGCCCTCCCCTACTAAATCTCGACCCCGAGGTCGCAAGATGACCTAATTTTTCAACTAGGTATTAATTTAGCCTGAGTCGAGCTGGGCGTCGATTGGTTGCCATTCCGTATCTGGGTTGAGCGCCGATTCCCGGGAATTCGTGATCCTGGGGACCCTCATTCGAATACATTTTCCACCTCTCATCTTTGTGAAGCATTTCGGTTGATTTTTCGGAGTGTGTCCGTGTGCAGATTCCCTGCACTGATTTCCAGTAGTGATACAGCCGACGAACATTTCCAACTGGAGGAGGGGGGTAAACAAACACACGAAGACAATTTTTCTCATACCCTGAGCCCTTTTTACTAACATTCCTCCCTGTCAAGACACACTTTTTTACGTAGTCATGTTCTTTTACTTTTTTTACGTAGTCATGCTTGACGTTTGTCTCGTCCGTTCTGTGCTTTCCGTTCAAGGAATATTCCGGTCAAGTGTCTCCCCTGTCCGCTGTCCAATCTGTATTCATTCGTCAACTCCATTACCATGTGTCGGTATTTACGTAGTCGGCATCGATTGATGACATTGCTCGTTGCCGTCAACGACCGTTCGCTCCAATCGTTCCACAATAGTTTGTTATCTTATAATCTTCGGATCCGTTATTATTAAATTCCTCACTTTGAAACGATTGCTATGATTATTGTCGAATGTCAATAAACTGTGTGTTCGTCCCACTGTTGTGTTGTCAATGCTGGTGAGGGTAAAGGCTTGGGAACGCGGTTCGAGTTCGATGGGAACCCTCGTCCGTGATTTGAGCTTCGTCTCTCGTGCCGTTGCTGCGCGCACGACCAGAAGACGACGAAATAGTGAAATCGTAACAGAATGCGAGCATGTTATAGCTGACTTGCCCTTGCGAACTCGCTTAATACTCCCTTCCCGCCTTTACTCTGATCGCGTTCGACAACAGAACCGAGCGGATTTCCTTAGACAAACTAGTCTAGACACTGTGTGTACTAACATTGCATCGAGACTAACTGTGCTGTCTTACTGACCCGACAGGCAGAACTAACCTTCCCGTGACGAACAAACCCGTGACGACGAGAGCGCAAAGCAATCCGAGGGCAGCTCAAAGATCCGCTACCCGAGCCACCACAAAACCGCCGCGGAGAAATTCAAAATACACCGCAAGCCCGAAAATTGAGTTGGCATCAATCAATGAGATCGATCATACCCCCGAATTCCTCGGCAGTGAGTCGCTCGGGAGCGTCTTCGGCTTTTAGACTAGGCGCTCGGATCGTTTTACATCTGCGCACAAACGATTATTGCTGCGACTCGTTCAACGTATAGCTTTGCTCCGCAGACCCCGAAGCTTTCCCTATGTTGCGACCTGACGTGGTACGCTCCTGCTGGAAAATAATGAATCGAGTCGGTTTTTAAAGATAGGATTCCTCCGATAGGACCGGCTCCCAGCATAAAGTACTTCGGTAAGCTGATAGGCGAGCTACCGACCTTCGCTCATGATGTCCGAGGAACGGTTTACGCCGCTAACGAAAACACTGTGGTCGTGACCAACTTCTACTACGACGGAGAAGGTCCAGGTCTGCGTCTTTTTCCTCTTCGCCAAGAGCACGACTTCTCGAATCAGTCAAAATACATATAAAACTAATTGCCGCGAGGAAGAACACTTCAATCAGACCGCCGGAGAAGACTATGGCTTATCACTGCGAATTGAATTCCCCATGTCCCGTTACAGATGCCCACTTCTGGGTGGGAACCACGGAACGGCCGACCAGCGCTGGAACCCAGGTTGCGAACGAAGTCGGATCGCATCAAAAGCTTGCCCGTTATCGCGGAGCGTATCTCGTTTTGACTCTTCCCGAGGGCAAGAAGATCACCGATTTCACCTATTTCGGGGTTTGGTGCAAACAGGCAACCGCGGACTTCGGTCACGTCAAGATCAGTCGCAATCTCACGCCTCCGCGTGAGGTTTCGCTAGGTCCACTCCCGACTTACGCTCACGGCGTGAGCTCCGATGACGTCATCGTGAAAGACTTCAAGACCCTCTTCATCAAGAATCTGAAATACGATGGAGCTGGTCCTGGTAGGTTCTCTGGCTCCCGATCAACATCCGAGTCCTCCGAGAGATCCATTCGTTTCAGAGGGCACGGATCCATTAGTGCCCGGTGTACGTGGATGAGGGAATGAGATTGTTTCTCTGATTGGCGTGAATTCTCCGCAGATGCATTCTTTCTTGTCGGCCGAGGGAGATCTCCGTCACCTGCCGGAATCAAGGTCCCGGACGAGCGGGGCAGTTTAGACCGGCTTCACGGATACCACGGTGACGATATCACGATCCGATTGCCTCCGGGAGTCTCCGTGTTTGACATCGATTACTTTGGACTCTACTGTATCTACTACACGGAGAACTTCGGGCACGTGAATCTGCGACAAGACGTTCTCAACGTACCTACGGACATAATGGCTTTGAAATCAGAAATTCTGACGTTCGATAACTGCGAAGACATCATTCCCGATCACCTCCAAGTTTCCTGGAAGATCGACGGGCAGAATATCTTCTTCAGGCTCAACGGCAGAGCGGGTAAGTAAATGATCGACAGTGATCAGACGAAAATCGAACTGTGACCAGTTTTCTCTGCTGCCTTCTGTGACTAAGAAGAAATCGATGAAACATCGGATCGTTCAAATATAATCTTACGAGTAATGATGCTGACAGATGAGCGAACAAAGCTGAATTTGTCATCAGAGGCGTCTCCTCTGGTCGTCCCTACAGCTGTTCGCCGTTCATTATCCTCCTCTCATGTGCTTTCCGATAAAGCGACGCGATTGTTACTCGCTGGAGGAATAATTACAGAGAGCAGCGCACGGACAAAGATCGTAATAAGTGCACAGTAGCAGTGGTGTTCGGGAGACAGGGTCATTGAAAGCATCGTCTTCAGCACTAACAATGGAATAAGGAGCTTCGGGTCCTCGGATTACCGACGATAAGTTTATACCGTCCCTCAGATCCGGGCCAGTACATTTCATTCGGGATCTCTGGGAAGCGTGATCGAACCTCGATGGATGGCGCGGACGTTGCCGTCGCATACTACGACGAGAAGATGTCGCTCGTTATCCTCAAGGACTACTACTTGGAGTCCAAAGCTCAGTGCTCCAGTGCAAACGGGGGAGTTTGTCCAGACGAACGTTTCGGTGGGAAGAACGATCTGACGTTGATTTCGAGCGAATACCGGAACGGAATCATCGAGGTCGTGTACAGTCGCCCGTTGGCCACCAGTGAGTACGGTAGAATCGAATCAATGTTTAGTTCTCCTCACAGCATGAAGAAATTCCAGGGGGAGCATGAACAGTTTCTGATGAGGAGCCGCGTCAATTCTAGCACCGCGTCGGCGCCTTGCATAAGGAGTTGTGGGAAAATATTTCGATTATTACCAGATCCAGGCGGATCTCAGAGCTCCCATCTCGAGCGACTCCCGTAGCCAATTCGAGAATCGAACTTATCGTCGAATCGGGTCGTATTCTATGGATCTACAGCTCGGAAATAGGAATTAGACACGCCAGCGGAGTTAATTACGAAGAGCACAGGTTGACAAAGTATTTCTCTCGTCTGATTCAGATGATAACAACGATAAAAACATTCCGGCCTCGGGTGACACGGCCATCGTCGCAGCCATCGGTGCATGGAGCGACGGAATCGTTCTCAAACACACGAAGTATCTCACCAGAGGTGAGTTCGACCATTCCTTCGGGCGACATCAGTCTGTCGCAGAAGTGCAGCTTCTCAATCGAGCAGGTTGTCATGGTTCGGCATGCGGAGTTTTTGCGGAAATGATCGATGACCCAGCAACCGCGAGCGAAGACTCTGCGCCGGGACCTCCTTATTTTTAATCTGAGCTCCCCATTTCGGTTACAGACACGATCCTGATAAACTTCGGTCGACCACCTGTCAACCAATGCTTACCCTTGAGCAATAGAAGAGATCCCGCCGTCGCTGGGCAGCCGTTCGCTGCACGAAAAGTCAAGAACACCAACAAATTCACCGCCCAGATCGGCCCAACCGGTGGATCGAAGGGATACGTGAAAATAACAGGTCGGTGGGCTCTTGGGCTCTCTTTAGTTGTCCTCCGAGTTTGGGAGGATTTTCCCTCACAACAGGAGATTCAGTTTTTTTCTTTGAAAATGCTGAAAATAATATTCTCCCGTAAGGCCTTCGAGATCCCCATCGATAGTTGTGTCGAGGAGCTACGTGAGTATCATGTCTCATGTCCATATCATTCTTATTCTTAAGGTCAAGAAGGATGGGGTATCGCTTGGTGGATCAATGGTCAACTCATACCTGAGCTTCACGTGGTCCGAGGCAGGAACTATACTTTCGTTGTGGAAGGCGGACTCGAAGTAACGAACACCGCGAAATATCATCCATTTTACATCACGAATAGCCCTGGCGGAGGAGGCGCTAACTATATCGAGGAGCTTAATACTCCCGTGAGTATCTCGAGTCGACTGTCGACAAGGGAATCTGTGGATTCAGGAATCGCCCAGGCACTGCCTTGCGGCATAACTATCTGATTAACGTCGAATACCGGATATCTTCTCTCGAATGGCCGAGGGCCGGAGCGAAAATTAGCAGGCTTTAGATATCGCTCTGTAAAGTCCTTGTCTATTCCTATCTAGAACCACATGGTCTACGCCGGTGCTGACGTACAACCGAACGGCAAAGTCAAGCTGGCGACCGGCCGATACTGCGAGTGGAAACACAAAACGATCGATCTCGCAGAGGAAGTCGAGACCTTTGAGGAGTACAAGGCGACCTTGAAGCTGCAGTGCGATCCCGGCCAACCAGGAATATTTCATTGGGTTCCAGACGACAAGACACCGAACACTGTGTATTATCAGGTGATGCTCGATCTGGTCCTATCGCTCTGATCGATACTCTGAACAGAATTTTCGCACATCGAACTTCGAAGGGATGGTTCCGTGAGAGCCATCGACCGAGAGCCAGACTCTGACTTCCGATTCTCGTCTTTACAGTGCTTCACTCACTCGTATCTCGGTTGGAAAATTCGCGTTCTGAATGAGGGCGAAAGCGCTTCGATTAGCCTTCAGGCAACGACGCTGATGGTCATTGCTTCTCTGCTTCTTGCGTTACTCGTCAGATAGGAATACGTAGAGTTTTTTTTTTGTAATTTCGTGGATTCAATGACATTCGAATCGATAATCCAAAGATTGAGAGGGACGACCGCGAGCGTCCCCAACAAGTAGACTGCCTTTTGTAGAACGGCGTTCGTGAAACATCCCCATCGCGTGTAAATATCACCATGATGGCACCGAGTAGAATGAATGGTGGGAACGGTCACGAAAATGTACATACATTAGGTAAGAGAATGAAATGCATGCATACAGGGCATCGCGACTTGAGGGCCTCATCAAGGACCGCAATCAGGATCAGAATGTGGATGGCTGGATACTCCAGGGAAGCCGCCACTGTCATCCTGGTCTGAATATCGAGGTTGCTCCATAATATTCGCACGTACGAGGTCGAGACCTGTAGATTCAGGAAGAATGACAACTCTGTTTATTAGGATCGGAGCGGATCGAATTTCCCCGACTGGCTTTTTCCCGAACGCTACTAGAACCCTGTGATAGTATTTTCCTTCTAGACTCGAGAATGAGTTTTGATTTTATGTGAATCGGACATAGAGTCCTGGCCTTGAGCCGTTCTAATAAGTTGGAAGGTCCCTACGAAATTTCTGTCGCGTGTATGATACAATCTGGGTCGTTTTGTATAAAATGAAATGTTCATGAGAGATTTAATCACTGCATAGCACCACGGCGAACTGCGAGTTCAACTGACGATTAGCCTCGGAGCCGAGGATCCCTAGGTATTTTAGTTGCTGCGCGCGAGTGCCATAATTGTCGACAAACTTCTGTTTCTGTTCGAATAAAACATATCGTCATGTGTATCCCATCAATTGATCGCCTCGATTGCTGTCCATTTTGTCCCTCCGTGTCTAGAGCACCGGTGTCGAGAACTTGATGCATACAGCTACCATGCCGGCGCCGGAAGACACCGTCGACCGGACGCTGACCGCACACTTCCGGGTGGGGTGCGAGTCTTCGAGTCTACCTCATGGTTCCAAAGCTGGGACTAGCAAGGACGATTCTCGTCCAGAACGTTTCATCAGACTTCCCCCGGCCTCGGAACCTTCCGTGAGAGCGCTCCCTTGCTCGAAGGAACTGCGGGTGAGTCGACCTATCGAGACTAGAACGAGCACTCTGATCGAAGTCTAAGTACCGCCGTATGAGCCACACGGTGGGCACGGGAGCGCTTTGAGACAACCTGAGACTGATTCGACGGAAAATCGGTCGGAAGACCTGCCATGAGCTTTTGTGGCTGAGGGTGAGAAATCAAGTATTTCAAGAGGATTTCTCGGGAGCTCCACTACTGCGGACCCATACTTGCGATCGACTCACGGGCGCTCTCCTGTCGCGATTTGAGACGGAGAAGAGCCTCACCAAGCTAACGGGAATTAGACTTTCCATTTCTCGAGGTGAGGTTGGGTTCGAGCGACCGGGGATTTTGTGAGTCCAATCGATTCCTGCGCATCCGCCTGATTACGGGCATTGCGGCGCTTGGCCCCAGATTACAATATCATGAATCCGGGGAACGTGGTCTGCCGAGGCAAGCCGAATTTTCCTACTCCGTCGGATCCGCTATGAACCATCCTCTTAGCAATGGGACGGCATTCGATACAGTGTTCCGTGGGGTGGCGAACCGTTGGGCGCTCGTGTCCACACAAGAGAATTCATACATCGTCACGCGCATCGTTCGAACGCACACATGCATCAAAAATACGCTCGAGAATACTTCGCACCCTCTGAAATCTGATCTGCGATGGAAACCCAGCAAAATACTCCTCGCCGCGAGTCTCGAGCCAAGAGGTGAGTCGATTCCAAATGGAATATCCGATCCAATTCGAATTCCGTTACCGGTGGGAAACCTCGCGCATAATCCGTGGGATTGAGCTCGCCCTCGAGCGGTGTATTCCTGCGGATTCTGGAGCTTCTCCCTGAAAGTCTTTGACAGTCTTCCACTTCTCGAAATCGATATCCTCTTTGCACCACCGGCCCGGATCCTGGCGCGTTGCTCTCTGAAGCGCACTCTCGATTAAAAATCTTCAATCTTTCCATTTCCCGTAGAGCCGGCCTGTGTTTCCCTGTGACGCGTATCGAGAGGAAACTCCGGCTAATGAAGGGCGTGAAGCGCCTCAACGACGAGACCGCAATTTATCTCGCGACCGTAGTCGAGTACATTTGTACCGAGATCCTCGACGTCTCGGCAACGGAAGCGAGGGAGCGGAAACTGAAGATCCTCAGCCCTGAAATCCTTCGGGAGGCTATCAGGAAAGATCCGGAGCTGAATGAGGTCTACAGAGGATTTTTCGCAAACTATGAAGAGCAGGAAGACCATGAAGACGAAGAAAAGGTTTCAACTGTCAACGTCGAGGGTCTCTCGAGCTTCCTTGAAGCGGCGATGCTCTAGCCTCGCCTTCCTAATTTGAGAGATTTTGAGAAATAAACCGATTTCGTTTAGAGCAGCCAAAATCACCACAATCACAGAGACTTAGCACCTCATTGTTCGCTCGGAATCACGGTTTTCCGTCTCCAGATAAGTCGTCAGGCTCTCCATTCCATCATCCGCCGAGCTCTAGGATGGCGGTGCGAACTTGATCTTTGGCTGTCGCAGACTTGTCTCACTCATTGCACCATGGTTTCCTAACGTCAAACTTCGGCATGTTGTTCGCCGAGAGCAGAAAAATTCCAATGCTCAAGAGCAGAGGAACTAAACGATGCCTCTCATTTCGCATCCCGATTCGCATGAGCTGACCTCTTAGCCTCGCTCCGAAGAGGTCGCAAATCTGTTTCGGCTCGAATGGGTGAATATTTTCCGTGTGGATTGTGTCGAGAGATAAAAGCATGAATGCGTGAACCTTATTCTTGAATTCCTCGCAGTCTAGCTCTCCTGATCATAGGAACGTCTCGCTCGTCAAGATAAGAACACAGTAATTGAGAGTCAATTCCGACAACTGGTGGAGCAACGAGCTCCGATGGACAACTCTGTCGCGAAAAGCCGGCTCCGCGAGCTATCTGTGGAGTTGTCATAAAGAGCGACGACGCTTTGGTTTCCCTACGAGATGCGAGTTCTTCCGGATTACTGTCGATTTCCTGTCTCCTACCACAAGGAGCTCGAGCCACAGGAAAACGATCGGATACCTCCTTCCACAGCGACCTCAGCTACAGCATGAGCAAGGGATATACCCCCTATTCATGCCTCGCGGTGTGTACTATCCATAATATTCCCCGACTGTTCATTGGGCGACTAAGGTCGTTTCCGAAGCCAACGTCGAGCCAGAATCGCGTCACAGCCTCGATAATCCATTCAACGCACTCCGATGCGACCCTTCCCGGTAACGACGGAGAGAGCGTCGGGTCGGGGAATCAGCAAGGTGAAGATCAGCCTGATCAGTCGGCACTGTCTGGCGACGCCGACGTTTTTTTGGTGTCGAGGTCAAGCGTCGCTTGTCGGAATTATTGTCTTCTAGATTATTTACGACCGCGAGCTACCTGGGCGCGAAGCAGAGTAGACTGTCCATGCCGGCGGAGCAGGATGGTTGACGTGAATAAGGTGGTGGATAAAATCGGATGCTGGCATGTCCCCGTTTTCCTCTTGATCATACTGCGCTCGTGGCCTCTGAACTTCCACATTCTCCTCCTATCGTTCGCCGCTCCGTCGAGACAAGATCACTGGTGCGCGAGACCAGAGAATTTCACGGAAATCTACTCGACGCAAGAGTGGAAGGATCTGGCGATCCCGGTAGTCAATGGTAAATATAGCAGGTGGGTGAGCTTCCGAAGGTTCCTTAGATCACAGTGTCGAGTCCGTGACTTTTCGCGCGGAGGGTGATGATCCGACGTCAATCTCTGAAGCTATCGAATTTGCTCGGAATCCGACCCAAGCAATCAGCTGTGAGCCGGTCAACATCTCGACCCCTTGGAGCCCTCTGATCTGCGGGGAAGTATCAAACAGCCTGGAATTTGAATCACATGCGTTGGTGGTAAGCAAGAGGCAGTTATGCATCCGTGGTGGAGTTCACCAATGATTCGATCAGCGTGCCGGGCGAGCGCCGCCAGAATGCTCGGTGATCGGTGACCAATTCTCCAGGAGGAATATAAGGAGGAATCATATTCCGGTGATTCCACGCATTGAGATGCAGGCGATCCGAGGTCTTCAAATGTGATTAGAGGACAGGGTTTCCTAGCCAGCGGAGACAATGCAGGGCTCCACAAGGCGGTATCGGAAGCCGTTCCATGAAAACAGTTCATTGTGAGGAAGAACGCTCTCCCTATGCGGTTGACGAACCTCCCGGGGCTCTTCCCAATGGGGATACTCTTCGATAAACCGGTCGAATCTCCTCCGCGATTTCCCGCTATATCGACCGAACCGTGCCCCCAATCGCGGCGCGCAGCAAAGTCTCCTGTGATCCCCGCTCCTATTGGATCCCCTTGGATTCTACCGAGCACCGTTCCGTCACGGCGGTCGGAAAGAACCCGTGTTGAATTGCCGAGGCCGGCCGATGATAATTCCTGTTGAAGAATGAGGCACCTCAATGGGGAAGGTCATCATATCCCCCGCCGCCGCGCTGCTGCTGCGGGGGCGGCGGGAAAGACACTATGACTTTAGCAATCGCGTGTGCAGAAGTCGGTCTCAAGGAAAGACCTCCTCTACCCGCCTTCGATCCTCTCAATGCACGAGTGCCGCTATCCTACAGATGCTTGGTGAGGAAATTCGAGGAGTTCGAAGGGAAAATCAACTTCCTCAATGAGACTCAGAAGTGTTCGAGCTGGGAATTCGACACCACTTACTATGACTGGACCCTGGTTCGCGAGGTGAGTCATGGAACTTCTAGGGTCAGGTCAGTCTACTATTCGAATCATTATTGCGACTTGAGAGGATTTTCGGACTCGCTTCCAGTTTGAGATGGTGTGCGACAGAAGTTGGTACGTGTCGGCGTCCCAGTCAGCTTTCATGGCGGGAATTATGGTCGGAAACGTGATTTTCGCGAAGATCGCAGACAGGTAATTACCAAGCGACTTCAGTCCAGATGAGCTCCCGAACGGAGACGATGAAGAGTTCCCTCGCCTCATTTTCATCATCATTCGCTCATTTCTCCAGATATGGGCGCCGGAAATCGGTTTTGTGGTCCACTCTGTTGATTCTCGTCTCCGGTACCGTGACGGTTTTCTGTAGAGACTACTGGTCGTTCAACGTTGCTCGTTTTGCGACCTCTATCGCTTGTGGCGCCTATCAATGCACCGTCATATCCATAAGTGAGTGAGGAACAAGTTCCATTTATCAATTATACGGATCTCATATTCTTCATGTGCAAGCGATCCACAAACCGCCTGAAGAGGCGTGGTCTCAGTTCTGGAGGGGAAGAAACTCTGAGAATCTATTTCCAGTGATGGAATCCTTGTCGGCCAACAAAAGAATGTGGGCCATGTTATCTTCTCTTGGTTGGACTTCGGGGAGTCTGATCCTGCCCTGGACAGCCTACTTCCTACCGAACTGGAACCACCAACAAATGCTGTATGCAGCTTCTGCAATCCCTTGCCTTGTCGTCTGGTAGTAAGTAGCTCAGACTTATTCCTCAACTCGCGGAAGGGCGATGAGGTTCCCGGATACCGATCATGAGGGAAGATCTTCGATGCAATTGACTTTGCCGAACTCGCGATCTTCGTTTCGTCCAATGCCATTCAATCATTATTACTGCACTATTTGAAAGCCGTCGAAAAAATCGGTCACGTCTTGGCAAAGTCTTGGACGTGAGTCCATGAATTGTTTGTTTTGCAGCTTCTTACCAGAATCACCTCGATGGCTGCTCGCGAGTGGTCGCGTGGACAAGGCCGAAAAGTCCATGGCCGATGTGATTCGGAAGAACAAAGTCAAGGATATTGACCTGGATACGATGTTCGCCGATTATCGCCAGCAATTAGGGCTCGAAAAAGGCTCAAAGATCGACCCAGGGAGCATTTCGAACCCGACCTATGGAGATCTTTTCCGGGGCCCGAAGATGCGGTTTCGTACCTTCTGCATCCTCATCATGTAGTAAGTTTCAGCGAGCTCACCGATGCCCACCGGTCTATCGTCGCCCCCCGACTCAAGACCCGACTCTCAGAAGGATTCTCTTCCAGCTTCGCGAATCGTCTGTTGATGTTCCACTTGACATTTTTCTCCGCTCGAATGGGCGGGAACCCCTTTTGGGGCTTCACTCTGGTCACCATACTGACGACTCCTGCCGATGTCCTCACTGTGTTCTTCATCCGTTACGTGAAGAGACGGCCGTCGATGTTCGCCTCCTTCGTGGGCACCGGGGTCTTCATCGTTGCCCTTTTACCCTTCGGTGAAGGTCGGTCACGAGTCCGTACTATTTGGCATTATTTAGCTTTCCGGCATGTTGTTTCAGTCTTTTACTGCTCCTTGTATCTGTTTCCCCGACAGTATTGTTGACATTTATTGCTATTGCAGAGAGTTTTATGGCCCGCGTGATACTTTGTACTCTCGCCAAAATCTTGAACACAATGGGGGCGTCTATCTTGGGAGTTTTTGCGAGTGAATCTTTCCCGACCGTCGTCCGGGCCATGGGTTAGTAGAGAACGACCGCGTCATTCGATCAGGGCTCTCACTCTTTGCTTTGAAAATAATTCTACTGACGGCTTCTCTTTTTTTCAACAGGTATCGGTAGCGCCTACACTGCGTCTCGTATCGGGGCAATGTTCTCGCCGTTTTTCAAGGTGGGGCTTTTTGCCTCCTGCCGACTTTTGATTTCCATCGATGAAAAATGCATTCAGTTCTCGATCGTGAGCCTGGAAAAGGAGATGCTCCATTTTCATGCTTTCAGGAATTGACGGACTTCGCTGGGCAAGGTGCTTCTGCTGGTCTCTCGGCGAGCATCGCGATCCTAGGCGCGATATCAGCCCTGAATCTACCGGAAACGTTGAACAAGGTAAGTGGAAGTCGGTGTTTACATATATCGAGAAGCAGCGAAAACCGATTCTGCTCGATTATCAGATATCTCAGGAGGAACGAGATTGCCCGAATCGATTTGTCTCGGTCCTCGATTCGTTCCTTATCGAGCACAACTTTTTAGATGCTGCCGGACGCCTTAGCGGACGTAGACCCTGAAGTTTACGCTCCCGTTAAGGGCATCATCAAAGAACGGGATCAGAGCAGAGGTCAGGAGGAGGCGATTTAGGTTTAACAAATTAGCGTCCGGGTTCACTGTTATGTTGCTCCACGAGAACCATATAAATATCGAGGTGCCGGTGACCAGGAAGAGAACTACTTCTCAATCCTTCGCATGGGAGCCACCGAGGAGAATCTATTGCCCGAAGTTTCGCAGATCGCCCAGGGCTCTGATGTTCATGATTTTCTAGGAATCGGGACGAGATGGACCGATTTTTTTTCCTGCCCTTCGAGAGGATTTCTCCTTGAAGGGATCATCGGAATAGAGAAACTATGTAGGATAGATTCGCGACTTCATGGGCTTCCACCTGAGCAGACCAAGATTCCAAAAACTCGATCATTCGCCAGACCGAATTTCTCGACATAACTTGACGTGTCTCGGGGGCAGGAATTCGACGCATGAACCGCGACCGTCAACGACAGAAAACGACGATGTCTGAGTATCGTCGTGGTATAGGAATTGATCCAATGTGCAGGTGACAGGCGCAAACAATGCGGAATCGTCTCCATGGCTGTAGGGAACCGAATCGAATCCTCGCTGCCGATTCCGTCCAGCACGGACGGAATCCGATCGTCCGCGAATCCCCCGTACTCTGGGGCATCGGCGGCTCTCCCGGTTGAGGGAACGAGTCGCTGTAAAGGAAACCTGATCGTATTTGCGGCTGTGCTTCTAGCGGTGTTGACGGTTTATTATATTGTCCGAAAATCAGGCAAAACACAGTCCGTGATCAACGATTCATGCAACTCGACCGCCTGTAGCATTATGAAACAAGTCCTCGTGAGACCAAACTCTACGAGAGACTTCTGCGAGGATTTTTTCGGTGCAGTTTGCTCTGTGACTTTCAAAGGTAACTCCTCTGCGCTCCCCGGAGAAAATTACACCGGAGAGACATCGCGGCTGGCAGAAATCGAAGAATCGATTTTCATGGATAAACTGATTCAGTACGCACTACCGGAACGCCGTCTCACGAATATCACGGGTAAAATTCTGGACTCTGAGATGCAGATGGGGAAGTTTTTTCTCAGCTGTCACTACAGAGACAGCAGTGCGGACGACGCTCGCAGGTTCTTTCTTTCATTTCTCGACGATCTCGGTATTCCGTTCGAGTTTGCGGGCGACAAACAGTACCTATCCATGTTCTCGGCCCTAATCAGACTTACTCTCGTTTGGGGTATAAACAATCCCCTCCTCTTCCTGGAACTCCGACCCATGAGGGGGACGAAGCATTACGTGACAGTAATTCGCAGTCTAAAGAAAGACGTGGATATCGAATACAGCGACGAGACGATCATGAGGAAGCGGCAAGCGGACGATACCACGACCGAAATGCGTGACGTGTTGCGGCGATACGTCCAAGCTACTGCAAGTGATACTCCAGCGGACGAGGAAGTAAAAGACCTCATCAGATCAGTTTTCTTCGGGAATGCTGCCCTCAGCGATCAGGTCCTCAGTGAAGTAGCGAGGAACTACCGAGCGGTCAGCTTGTTCCTGTGGTGGAGACAGGGATTAATCCATTCAGAAGGGGTTTTCGAGCCTCTCCGGGGATCCTTCTCCACTCTCGAGCACATTACTGGATTTCCGTGGCGCCAGGCAATCAGCTACGGGATCAAACAACGGATCGACATGTCGCAGGACTCAGAGGTTTACGTCGACCGACCAGACGTGTGTACTCAGATGGCGCGAGTTCTGCTGGACTCTCGATTCCATCGAGTGTTCCGGAACTATCTGTACGTATATCTCCTCAGAACTCTGGGTTTCGCGATGGGTAAGAGAGCAGAGTACAAAGCCTGTACGGCGTCCGGGTCACCCTGCCCCCATTTGGAAGAGGAGAGGGAGCTCTATTGTTTCCGAAAAGTGAGTCGAGGCTGTCGGATCGGGTGCAGCGAGATGCCGATCTAGATTCTCCTGATTTTCTCCAGATCCGCCGAACCGTCTTATTCCTGAGTCCCTCAGCCTGCAAGTGCTTGTAAACATGCTTTTCCAGGTGCGAGAGTACTTCCCCAGATCCTACATATCCCTCGTGGCGAGAAATCTTGTAGACTTCCGAAGTCGAGCCGAGGTCAAGACTGTTCTGAGTTCCCTGATGTTGCGGAGCGCTCGTGTGAGTATGATGGCACTCGATGCAGTTCATCGTGCGAGCGCACGTCGACCCCCTTCGGCGTAGCCGTAGTGCCTGTGGCCGACCAATACGAATCGCTCGTGAATCGATGGATTGACAGGGAAGCCGCATGATTTCCCAACATAATCTGATCCGTCCATGATTCCACCACAGATGATCATGGGCTCTTTCATGCCTATAGAAGACCGAGTGAAAGCGTTGCACGTGTTCACAACGATGATCATCTACTTGGGTTCCCCAGAGTATTTGAACGAGATGAGGGCCGTCGAATACAATTTCGAGGTTGGGCGGAATTTTCTCCAAAACCTGATGGCCGTCAGACGGGATCGAAACGAGCAAAAACTAGTTACGTTCGAAAGACCTTTCCGTATGACACGGGATCGTTGGCATCACCTGCCGATATCGGTGAGTGCTCCCAGTTTATCCCGAAAATGTGGAGTCTCTTCTGAGGACGGACCTATACGGATGAGGATCGACTGCTCCGCCTGCCTTGAATCCTGGCAAACTCTCCTATTCCGCAGCTGCCGAGGGCGCACTACGACGCCGATCTGAACAGTCTGACTGTTCCAGCAAGTATCATGACCTTCCCATATCATGTCCCGAACACACCGCTGTGGGTGACGCTTGCGGGCCTCGGGTGGCACGTGGTTCACGACGTATTCCATCTTTTTGATGAGGCCAACCGCGAGTCGCTCTTCCAACGGTACCGGAGAGGACCATCGTGGAGGAACGACACGGTCCGTCACTTCCAGGTCTGTGACCCCCTTCCCTAGATCGGAGCTGGTTGTCTTGAGAAATGCGAGCATGAATAGGAAACTTATACCTAGTAATACCACATTGTCATAGTTTGTAATAAGGACTTGCCCTCCCTAGATCGCGCAGATGTGTTATTCCCCGGCCTTCAACGATATACGCGATTCATTCCCCATGAAGTTGAACTTCTACGACGAATCCACAATAGATGAGGCGGCCGTGTCGATAGTGTGGAGCACCTATGGATTCCTCTTGCGACAATTCGCCAACGACAGATTATCAGCCGATACCGGCTTCAGACAGGAGGAGGCTTTCTGGGTCGCCGCCGTCAAACCTTTCTGTTACGAGACGGTCCTCTACACTCATGGCTTGCGGGACCAGTTTTTGACGCGAGCCAGGATAAATCTGGCGCTCCAAAACCTTGTAGGATTTCCACGGATTTTCGGTTGTGCAATCGGTAGCGTCATGCATCGAGGGAGTTGTCAAGTTTGGATTTTGGGTGAATTCTCGGAATGACGCGAGTCCGCAAGTTCTTTCTTTGAAATAATGTCATCGTATGTAGAGAAGAAGAATTCCGTGAATATGAACCTTCACTTTGGTCGACCCGTGATGTCTTCCCTATCTCCCAATTGAGCTCGCTAGTCCTCTGAATATCGAGCCGAGCGCTGCTCTATTGTGCTGAACACTCTTCCTCTTTGCATTGATTTCGGAGACGAATAGAAATCATGGCCGGAAGATTTTTCGCGCGAGTGATTGGGTGCGTATTCCAATCTGAATGGTTCGAGCTCTCCAGCCCCTTTTGGCTACCATGAAATGCACATGATAGTTCGGACAGAAATTCTCTGGGTCATTGGATCGTCGACTAAAGCCTTGAGGCACTGGAGTTCTTCACCCGGAATCATCCGAGTCTGACAGAGAAATCTGGCAGGAGCGGGCGGGTCTGTCGGAGTCCTTCTTGCCGCCCTTGTAACCGCTCTTCGTCCACCGGTGGCTCTCAACCCCAATTCACTCCGCCTCTCCTCTGTGTGATGCGAGATGGAACATGGATATAATTCGTTGGGAAGAAATATAATCGAATGGCTCCATTGGAATAATTTTTTTTGGCTATGACGACATTTATTGGGCTTCAATCTAGACGCTTGTTTCGAGCTGGTGCTCAAGGATTTTCTTATTCAGATCGGGAGAGCTCAGAATAAAGCAGGTCATCACTGAAGCTAGGGAGCATGAATGAAAATAGAATTGCGTTCGGGCCTTAAGAAGAATGAGGAGATACATATTGAAGAGATACACTGGCTGTTCTCTCGGTGCGAAGCGATACGAAACCTAGCGTGGCTCGTGTCAGCGGACGAAACAACGATGTGATACCTGGAAGTCCCCGGGAGGCCTTAGAACACGAACTTATGTGCGGGAGTTCGGGTGATGGGCTCAGAGGATGCGGAGGCTCGTGAGTGAAGAAAGAGAGCTGAGTCGAATCGAATCCTTCATACCGATTCCATTCAACGAAGTTGCGAACATCGGTGGAATCTTCCTTCCCGAGGAACACTGCAGGCTGCATTTCCGATGAAGGCCTCAGACCGCTGCTGTAAAAATCTGATCATAGCTGCGGCTTTGCTCCTCGTAGCGGTGGTGGTTTATTATATAGTGCGGAAGAAGTCAGCAAAGGAGCAATCGGACATCGACGAGTTATGCAATTCTACTGTCTGTGTTTTGATGAAGCAGATCCTCGCGAGACCCAACGATACGGCCGACTACTGCGCGGATTTCTTTGGCGCGACTTGTTCCATATCTTTTGACGTCGACCCGCCGATGATTCCTGGGACAAACTTCACAGGAGCGACCTCGAGGCTGGCAGCCATCGAAGAATCGATTTTCATGGATAAACTCATCCAGTACGCGATACCAGAGCGCCGGATTACGGAATTCGCCGAGGACATCCTGGACTCCGAATTGCAGATGGGGAAGTTTTTCCTCAGCTGTTACAACAGAGACAGCAGCGCGGACGACGCTCGCAGATTCTTCCTTCTATTTGTTGACGACCTTGGTATTCCGCTCGATTTCTCGAGTGACACACAGTATATGTCGATGTTCGCGGCCCTCGTGAGACTTTCGCTCGTTTGGGGAATAGACAATCCGCTGCTTTTTCTGGAGCTCCGACCCATGAGAGGAATGAGGCAATACGTGACGGTCCTCCGGAGTCTGAAGAAGGGACCCTATTTCGATGACCTGGACGTGAGGATCATGAAGAAACGACAAGCTGATACAGATAATCATACGACCGAGATGCGAGAAAAGCTGCGAGAATATGTTCACGCGTGTAAGCAGGATACGAAAGCGGATGAAGAGGTCAAGGAAACCCTCAGATCGATTTTCTCTGAGAGTGCAGCTCTGAACGACCAACACCTGAGCGAGATAGCGAGGAATTATCGAGCGGTCAGCTTATTCCTGTGGTGGAAGCAGGGAATAATTCATGCAGAGAGGGTAATGGAACCGTTCCGGGGATCCTTCTCCACCCTCGAGCACATAACGGGATTCCCGTGGCGCCAGGCAATAACCCATGGAGTTAAACAACACATGAACATGTCACGGAACTCACACGTTTACGTCAGCCGGCCAGACGTGTGTACGCAAATGGCACGGCTTCTCTTGGACGCTCGATTCCATCGGGTGTTCCGGAACTTTTTGTACATTTATCTGATTCAGACTCTGGGCGTCGCTATGGGGAGGAAAGCGGAGGACAGAGCTTGTACTAATCTTCCCGAGAAGTGTCCCCAAACAGACGAGATTAGAGAGCTCTATTGTTTTCGAAAAGTGAGTTAAAGATGACAGAGGGACCAGAGGTCGATCCCCCTTGGGCGCCTCGATCGGCGAGCCGCCCGGGTACTTCAGCAGAGTCAATTTCGTCACTACTGCTTCTACTCGAAAGTGGATATTCTTCGGTCTGCGAGCTCTAACAGGAATGATTTTACAGACACGAGAGTACTTCCCCAGATCCTATGTATCCCTCGTCGCAAGACACCTGGTGAGCTCTCGGAGTCGAGCCGAGGTCGGAGTTGTTCTGAGTTCGCTGATCTTGCGGAGCGCTCGTGTGAGTATTCTAATACTCGGTCCTGATCGTGGACTTCTCGGAGCTCTCGGTCGAATCTTTCTGGGGGCCTGCCATTATCGGTTTTCATCATCCGATCGGGATCTTCAACGCATGGGACGGGTGAGACGGATAATTTTCCCACCACGATCTGATCGCCTTCTCTCTCCATTCCAGATGATCATGGACTCCTTCATGCCTATCAGGGACAGAGTGAAAGCGATGCATGTGTTCACAAGCATGGTTGTCTACGTAGGCTCCCCCGAGTACTTGAATGAGATGCGAGCCGTGGAATACAATTTCGAGGTCGGAGGGAATTTCTTCCAGAATCTTTTGTTCGTCAGAAGAGCCCGTAACGAGCAGAAACTCATAACGTTCGAACGAGATTTCCATCTATCACGGGATCGTTGGCATCATTTGCCGCTATCGGTGAGCTATCGATACGACTCCCGAATCCCGTCCCGTCCAGGGAATTCGAACAGGATGAATGACGGTCATGCGTTGAGCCTGCCCTCCACCAAATTCTCACTACCCGCAGGTGCCCGAGGCCCACTACGACGTCGATCTGAACAGCTTGACTGTTCCGGCGACGCTAATGACTTTCCCCTATCATGTTCCGGATACACCGCTGTGGCTCACGCTTGCGGGCCTCGGATGGCACGTGGTACACGAAGTTTTCCATCTTTTCGATGATAGCAATCGAGAGTCGCCGTTCCAACACTTCCGGAGAGGACCGGCATGGCAGAACGAGACTGTCTCTCACCTAAAGGTCCGTGATTCTAATTGACTTGCTCTGGAACAATTCTGATACGTCATAATAATGCGTTCGTTCTCCCGCAGCTTGGTAAGCTGTGTTATCTCCCCGCCTTCGAAGAAATCCGCGATTGGTATCCTCCTGAATGGAATTTCCTGGACGAATCTGCTATCGACGAGGCCGCCCTCGCGATAGTTTCGAAGACCTACGAGTTCCTGACGCGACAATACCCGAACTACCGACCCGTTCCCGATACCGGGTTTCGGGAAGAAGAACTTTTCTGGATAGCAGCTGTAAAACCTTTCTGCTACAAGCAACTTCTCTACAATCATGGCTCACTGAACCAGTTTCTGACCCGAGCCAGGATAAATCAAGCGCTCCAGAATCTGAAGGACCTTCCCGAGAGATTTCGGTTGCAAGCCAGAGAGCTTCATGCGACGGGGGAGGTGTCAAGTCTGGATTCAGGGTGAACACGTTCCATGAGGGAAATTCAGAAACTTCTGTTTTTTGTATATATCAGTTTACTTTGAACGACAGAGGTTCTGCCGGCGTTCATCAACGGCTTGGTTCCATCAGTGATGTTCCCTCTTCCTCCCTGAAGTCACCGTTGAATTCTACCCGTCGCTCGAGAACCAAGTCGACCGCGATTCTCAAATCGACGTAAAAAGCACGATCTCCTCCTCGTTGGCGAATGGATATTAGAGTATCCGGCCACGATAAAATAACAGCACCAAATGCCATCGTCCACGTCGGATGTCTAATTGGGGACGTGAGAGATGATGGTGCAGAAACTCCTCGGAGGCGTATCTCGTTCTCCGCCTCTTTCGGAACTTTCTCCAGGTTCTCTGTGTTTTGGGTCATCCCAAAAGGTCACTGAACGGTGAAATATTATTATACATACAATTGGAGCGATCGCAGTCGGAATAATCCCACCTTGTTCCATGGAGGATTTATGCAAATTCGCTTTCCAAGCGTTTCTATGATCTGTATCTAGAGCTCAGCCGAACAGTGCCGCTTGAGTACACTATGGGAATAGGTAAACGCACCAGAGGATTTTTGATCAGGGGGCTTCTTCCCCATTGTCGAATCTCGGGAAAGCTATCTTGTAGCTCGAAATCGCAAGCTCCGAACAGGGACGGAAGGATTGCGAGTTTCGACATTGGACGAGCGGTTCCTCTCTGCTGTCGAGGTTGGAAGCATATCGCTCTGTCCATCACTTGAACGTTTTATCCGCAGAGCGATCGAATAATAATTAAGGAAGTACGGCGGAGCGCCATGTGGTCCCATAGGTGCAGAAGGTCCCTTGAGATCCTTGCTCATCTCAGAATTCACGAGCTTGAGATTCGCCAGAGTTCCACGGTACACCGAGTCTCTTATTGACGGAGCGGATGGGGATCTAGACCGGATCATCCGGTTCATGGGACGGGACCACATCATCCGGTTCATGGGACGGGACCACATCTGAATTGAGCTGCTACAAGCTACAAGTATAAGGTGACGGCTCCTGCCGCCGCCGCGTTTCGATAAACAGCCATGTCCTCCTGGGGCTAATGACTCTATTGTACACGCAAAAAACGGCTGAGGACTCACAGTTTATCGAGCATAGGTTCGTGTCGCATCTCTAGATGGGATGTTATGTTGGGTTCGAGAACCTGGTCCCGCGATTCGAGAGTCTGGGAGAGCAGTGTATGCCTCTGTCTGGCGATCCCGATAGGTGGATTATCGAGTGACCCTGACGCCGTAACGAATACTTCGGGGCTCGAGTCAAATTATTATACACAAAACAGAGCGATAACTGATAGTAAACTGACAGCGGTTGACCTTGAGCCCTGACTGAGAATCTACCCCCTTAGCAGAGGCGAACCTCGTGGGCTGGCGTGTGATCGCCCTTCCTTATAAAGGTTGCCCTCGGCAAGCACATCGGGGCGAGCTTTGTGACTGGGACTCAGTGTTTCGTCTTTCTGGCACGGCATGCTCTCATTCGAATCTCAGGACGCGGCGAGGCAATAAAAAATTTCGCAACTTCCTTCGGTCCTCCGCGTTTTCTGAGTGCGTCTCGTGATGTCGATTTACTCGCTCCCCGAATCCGCGACGATCGCTGAGAAAAGAGAGTTCGGATCGGCTAGCAGCTTCTGTGGAGAATCGTACTCCCGAACTTCGCCAGCCTCCAATACGAGAATTCTGAAAGGATGACATGGACTGCGTCTAGAATATGCCGCTCGGGAAGTAATCAGAGGACGATCGACGAGCGCGAGCGGAATAGGGAGAATATACACCTACTTGTCGTAATTCATTATTGTGTTGATTCTGTGTGCGATCGTTATGATCGTGCATGCGGCGAACTCCGTATGGATCGTCTCTTGAATCAAAGAATCGGTAACGATGTCCACCGCAGCAGTCGCCTCGTCCAGCACCAATATCTTACTCTTCCTCAGTAAAGCTCTCGCCAAACATACGAGCTGTCGCTGTCCAACCGAGAGATTTTCGCCGCCTTCGGAGACTTCGAAGTCGAGGCCTGTAATCGGATCCGAACACACGATAGTCGTGAATACACGGGATCTCTAGATCGCATACCAAGTGAGCCCCATCGAGATCGTGAGGAATATTCAGAGCTCTTCCCGCACGAGGTAAGAGCCCTTGACCATTCGCCTTGACCTTGATCTTGTTGAGTGACGAACGCTTTCAGGTGAGCGTGCTCGACGGCGTGCCACAGTTCTTCATCTTTATAGGCTTCGAACGGGTCAAGGTTCAATCGCAGAGCTCCGGAAAATAGAACCGGATCTTGTGGAATGATCGACAGCTGCAAGAGCCGATACTTGTTTTTATCGATAATATCACTATGGTTGTTAATTATTCTTATCGATAGGACGAATCCCTTTATGGAATCATGGAATCGAAGCGTGGAATAGGTTGTGTTCATTTGACTGACCTTCTCACGGAGATCATGGATACCTATGTCCGCTATTGGGATGTCATCGATTGTTATCCTCCCCTCGCAAGCTTCGATGATGCGGAAGAGCGCGAGAGTCATCGAGCTTTTCCCTGCCCCGGTTCGTCCGCATACGCCCACTTTCTCACCAGCCTCGATCTTGAGGTTGATACCACGAACTGTTCCAGAAACAATGAGACTGAGGGTAGATTATAATTATCGAATGTACCGGATGAGGCCATTCCGAGGCTTTCCGTCGTAATAGCATCGATCGTTTTGGATAGGACGATCAATGGTGAAGATTTTCCATTATCAACGAGGAGCCGTGAAATCTCCCCGTGCAAACAATGATAATGATTCGAAACGATGGGCCGCGAACTCACCCACGGCAGGCAGATTCTCTCTATACCTCGTCGAGTAATTCTCAAACTCAACAGCGCCTTTCGACGGCCAGCTGTTTCGTGGCGGATTCCTGGTACATTCGGCCTGAATTGGGGGAGTTCTCTCACGCGGTGTTTCTGACTGTGCTTTTCGATATTCCGAGACTCTCGGAGGTACAAACCTCGCTCTCAAGAGATATGTACTCTGTCAGCCTCTCTACAGAGACAATGGAGACCTCGATATCGGCGCTGGATCTTATGAACGCGTTCAAATTGAAAGATGCTTGGAGAGCATACGCCAGACAAAGTCCCGCGATACCTGCATCGATATCTCCCCGGTGTAGCACGACGAACACGGCCGTTGCGAAAGTCACAGACGAAGCACAGAGATCCAATCGAATGCACAGCCACCTGGGAATTATATCGGGCGATGCAAGCAACTCCGAAACCGAATCCTTGTGTGGCAATGCCATCGCGTTGTGATTCTACTAATCTTCGATTGCTCATCGGCCCACCTGTTGGCCGCGATTCGGGGGAGGTAACACGAGGCGTTGGAGTCGATCTTCTCATTGAACTCGAGCGTGAATTCCTCGCTTCTACCGAAGGCTCGGATGATAGCGGACCCCTGGAGTGTTTCACCGAAATGCGAGAATATCGGAGATCTCGAGATGTTTTCTAGTCGCCTCAGTTGCCGCGATGAGGTTATGTACAGAAGCTGAGGAGAATTCAGATCACGATTATCTATTTCCTTGCTGAAAATGAGCTTAGACAGAATTCTCGGAGGCGACGGCCGCGTCCCAAGAAAAAATTCTTCACCTGAACGAGATAGTACACGATTCCTATGGGAATCACAACGAGAATGAACAACGGCAAGTTGTAGCATATGACGAATAAAATTGCCAGCAGGCTGAGGAATTGTTGCACCAAAACTCTCATGTCTTGCGGCAGATTCAGATCCAACATCTCAACGTCGTGCGCGAACCTGCGGCAAATGATAGGGGATAATCAATCCGCCCGGAGGATGCGTTCGAACGAGGACGGATTCGTTCGAGAGCGATATTTCTGAACGCTCGGCAGTGTACCTGTTCATGATGCGTCCGATAGGCGTAGAATCGAAGAAATCCATAGGAGCCCGGAGAATCGAAACGAGAACCTTGTCATGTATTTGCCTGGAGGCCGACAAAGACGATAAGGCTATGGAGAGAACTCCGAAGAAAAGGCCTACGGCCTGACCGATACCCAGGACACCGAAAATCATCAGGTTGTGGGTTCCGCGTTCTGTGACACCGGGGAAGAAGTTATCCGATTACCCTCCCATACCCCGTAGTGGGACTCCTGCCTCCGTCGTCTGGGAGTTGTCCATCGCTCTCTCTTCAGATGATGTACAAAGGAGTGCTGTTCTTCAATCGTACCTGCGGACTTGTCCTTCGACCACTCATTCAGCCAGAAGCTGGATCCAACTTGGGACGCTGTTGCACCGAACATGGTCAACATTACGATCATCGCCGGGAACAATCCAATCGCTCGAAGGTATTGACCGTAAACACTGGACCTGATTCTGCCTGTATTTTGAGAATACCGTTTGGGAGCAACCCGATGCCTCGGAGCGCCAACAAAATCGCCGAATCGAAGGTGGACTTACCGCTTTCTGTAAGTTCTTCCGACACGATTTTCCCGGCACCTGGCTCTCTAGTTAAGGGAACCGGTTCTCCTCGCAGAATAGACTGTCGCTGATCGTAATCCACCCTCCCAGCATCCTCCGAAGGTTGATGAATGTGCGGCATCAGGCTCCGGAAGTCATCTGGCAAGATGATCATCAGTCATCCGAGGACGGATCGGACTTGAGAACGATGGACGGGTCCGCTCTAGGGGTGGGGTAGTAAGTCCCCTCCGTACTCACTCTCAGACCGCATGAGGCCCACGGAGTTCCCGATTCGAGACATGCGGCCGTTCTCCATGATAACCATCCGGTCGACCTTCGGCAGATACTGTATACCGTGCGTCACAAAAACCCTGGTTTTCGTTTTGAGCATTCCCTCGTTACTAATTATCTGGAACGAAAACTGCCAATCGCAGGGATGCTGCCGGAGGTTCGAAGTCGAAATTCGTGGATGAGGCAGTGGCCTTGACTGACCATGTAGAATATTTGAAGCCCTGTGTGGGAGTCTACGGCTGATAGTGGATCGTCCATGAAGTAGGTGTCCGCGTCAGCGTATACTGCGCGAGCGATACTGACCCGTTGCTTTTGACCACCAGAGAGATTGATCCCCTGAAATGCGCGAGACCATACTCGAGTCTGATTCGTCGTGAGCTTCCACGTGCAGATGAAGTCCCATTCCGAAGTGCCGAATTGGTGCCACCTAAGTATGTGGCACGGGAGTCGTTCCATAATAATTTATTCGACTCACTTTTTCACCTATCTCGGTTTGGTCACCGGCGGGGAGCATCTCAATGTCCTCCAGGAGCGCACAGCGACGCAATATATCCCAATACCTCTGATGATCATAAGGTTTCCCGAAAAGTATGTTCTCTCTGAATGTTGCGTTACGCAGCCAGGTTTGCTGCGAGACATAAGCTACACTTCCGCGAGCATGAACCTTCCCGCTCAACTGACGAAGGGAACCTCGCTCAGCAATTATGCTCGGATGCAACATAAACGCTTATAGACTCGATAGCCGTTGAATTTGCTGGTCTTGGATCGGAAGTCGTGAGACTCACCAGATTCATTTCACCGAGCATGGCGGAGATGAGCGAGCTCTTCCCTCCTCCTACTCGACCAACAATTGCGAGAAGTTCTCCTCGAGGAACATCTAAGCTCATGTCCGTCAAGATTGCTTCATTCCCTTCCCAAGAAAATGTTGCGTTCTTCATTGAAATCGCGTGGTCCCTTTCGGATGCTGTGGATATAACTCTTCTTCAGAGAACGTCAGGCGACGGTGGTGGAATGTCTGTGACGAGATTTACGATAGCCGGCTCACTGAGACCCGGAGCTCTTCGAAAAACAAAATCGAAAACCGAACGCTATTCTAAGATTTCGTAGATCGCGGGAAAATAGGAAGACAGAGGGACGGGCTCGGATGAATACGTGGTGTAGATCATCAAGCAGCTTCCGAAAACAGGCGGTCACTCACCATCTCTTACGAAAAATTCGAGCTCGTTAGCAGACAAGAAGTCGTCGAGTCTCTTGAGTGAAACGCAGGACTGGATGAAATTACTGATTAAGCTGGGCAGCATCGTCAACGGTACCCTTAGATTTTGGTAGAGGGCGAGAGCGGTGAAAACTACATCGGGTCTCAATCGTTGATCCCTATTCAAGAAGACGAAGGCCGCGAATGTCACGAAGGTCACCTGTCAATATTCCGACTTCGCTTCACTTGGGTGCGCCGCGGTCTCTATGGGTCGGATTTTTTTTAGCGATCGCCGAGGACGATGCGCTTCTGATGCGAACTCACCGCGAAGGGCGCGAAGAACCAGAGCATTGTGAGGGAAGCCTGCAGGTAAGCAATTCTTCTCAACTTGGAGAGCTCTCGCGAACGAATCGCGTCCACTATTCTCTTGAAGCCGAGTTCCCAGGCGTAAAATTTGAGGACCCTCATGCCGTTCAGGATTTCATTCATGAGCTTGATCCTACTGTCTTTGTCCTTCATTTGTGCAGCCTGCCGAGAGAATGGAGGTCGTGACAGATAGGCCGACGCGGTTCCGCTCAGATCCCACCGCTTTCAAACTCGAGTGGAAAACACGAAGGGCAAAAACGAGCGAAGGGAGTGATATCAACTTCTTCTTCGCTTCCCCCCGAATTCGGTCCGTCCCCACCCCTGGGAGAAAATTCGGGTCCCCCTGCACGGAGGTAGGTACATACTGACTTGCTCACTATGACAAACTAGATCGGGATCAAGATCCGACCCTCAAGACTCAAGATTCCATACCAATACGGCTTTTTGAAAAGTAGCGAGACAGACGCTGAGCGGGATCATGACCAGCATGAATAGCAGCCCGGCTCCGACAGAAATTCCCATGTCGAGGTAGATGAGAGCACTAGCGGCTACTATCTGCACAGGCGTCGACCACAGCATGTGGCCTGTGCGGACGGTGTCCCGTAAAATTTGTGCGTCATTTGACATCAGATTCACGATTTCGCCGACAGTTTTCTCACGTCGAGCTCCCGGTGAAAGCCGCAACGATTTCTCATAGACGGCGGCAGTGACAACGTTTCGCACGTGCATTCCTGGGAACGATTAGAAGATTGGCTCGCGCATTCCAGACAGGGTCTCAGGGAGATCTTCCGAGGTTGTTCCGAGTCCGATTACTTACCGAGTTCGGATATTCGGTGGTAGAAGAGGTTCTCGAGGATCGTCTGTAGTATCATGGAGAGGAGCATGACGACTGCGTAAGCAATTCCAATCCAGGTCGGTTGGTCATTGTCCATGAATCTCATGAGGGCTTTCATTATGAGTGGACCTAGTGCGGAATTCATCGAGTGACTTCATTAACTCTGTGTGGGATTTTTTTCACATTTAGGAATGGTCGCTGCCGGGAATCCTCGAGAGCACGACCCAAAGAATATTAGCGACTGCCAAACCCGACAATGAGGCCCACCGAAGAAGTTGACGACGTCCGCCCCCATTTTCAAGACTCCGGCAATGAGGAAGGATGCTCGGAAAGTCTTGACCAGAGCTCTCAGCGTCGAGCCTCTCTCGCCATCCTTGCGGGCCCTGGAATAGCGCGGTCACTTTCGAGAGCTCATAATCGCCGGGAATAATACCGAGAGCGACCGAAGAGGAGAAGCCGTCAAACCTACGTCGGATTCCCCGAGGGGAATTCCATCTCTATGTGCTTCCGGAACAACTTCATCCGATATTCAACGCCGTCTTCCTCGTTAAGAGCCCACAGGTCGTCGGTTGTCACATCGCGTTTATAGCCATTCCAGACGAAGGGAGTTACCCAATGGAAGAGGAGTTTCGAGATGAACGACGCAGAGTTTCGCGGACATTCCTGGAAGAATTGAATGCAATATTATTCGTCACCAATGAGTTTCAGGAAGCGGGAATCTGACGGTCTTTGTTCACATATCCGTAGGGATGATTCTTTTCCGAATTTGAAATCCTGTATCTGAACTTCTCGAATTCTCAAGACAAGAACCCGTCACATCTCTTGCTGCCTTTGAAGCGGGCAGATTTATCGCCGAAGGAACCCCATCGATGGCTAGGAGTACCAATCAATGTTTGCAGAGGCGGGCAGGCATCGATTGCGGACGCGTGTTATGATGATACCGGCGCGTGCAGCTGTCTCGATTCACGATCTTCGAGAACATCTTTCACCACCGAGTGCGGGCAAAGCAGGGTCAATGGCAGTAAGCTCATCACGATACTCGGAGTCACCAACTAGTCAGCCATCATCACTCATTCGAGTCACGTCTGAAACCGACTCCGTGAGCAGAACTCCGAAATCACTCGACATCAGCAACGAATCCTTCACTCTCACGTTGAGCATTGATACCTTCATCACCGACGGCGAGTGACCTTCACCGTACCGTGCCGGCGAAAGACAGCGAATCGGGAGTGACCAGTGTTGAATCCATGCGCACGATATGGTTCTCTCCGAAGATTGCGATTTCGCCGAAGTCAACTGAAGGGGGTTCAGTGACTTCGTGGAAACCCCGACGGACTAGCTGGTGATCGGTCCGACTCCTCGCACTAGAGCCCGATTTCACCTCGGAGCGGGTTATTTCTTGATCTTAGTCTGTCCCTCCATGCGATTCTGCTCGGCCTATGGCACCGAGCGGACCGCTCTGATCACCGCCGGGAGTCTTTCTGTTATTCCAATCATGGTCAAACTTGTCAGTGGATCAGCCGCGCCTGAAGATTTTCGACTCCTAGGTCTTATATACGTCCTTAGAAGACGGCGGGTATCCGAGCGAAGCTCTCAATGCTCACCAAGTATGTCAGGGTCGCTTCACAGAAGACAAACAATCCTCACTCGAAACAATCCCTTAATGTTACCGGTGACCTTGAGAAAGCAGAGGGCCGCTCAAGAATTCACGAATGAATTCAGGCATTGGTATCCGCTGACTCTGGAGTTCATACTCGAAAAATCTGCGCTCCGGGATTGCCGAGCCGGCCATTCGATGAAGCGCCCCACTGACGAGTCGCAGTCGCGTTAGGGCCGCGTCAAGGTTCACATGGAGTCGAATCCTCGCGCTCACATTCGGACTCATATCCGAGATCCCAAGATGTCTCGGCGCTCACTTTGAATATATCCTGGCAGGCCCGCGGTCAGAGTCAAGGGGTCTGACGGTGAGTATTTCGACTCGGACAACGGGACTGAGCGAGAATCACGGAGGAAGTCTGATTGCTTCCATTCGCGGGAATGAATCGAGTACCATCCCGAACGATAGCAGGCCTCCACAGAAGTAGAGGCGGACGCTTCCTCTCAGAATGCAAACAACAGTCGAGATACAGATCACCGTCGAAACCTCAAAAATGTGGGATACATACATCGGGCTTCATAATTCGGAATTCCAACCCCGCGGGCTCCACGAGGATCCTCTCGCTAGCGCTAGTGTGCACTCGATGAACTTATCGCAAATGAGATAGCGAGACGGATTCGAGCAATTGCACCGAGCGGGACGCCGGCTAATGTATGATATACAGCTGTTCGTGTTGATTGCGTTCAGGATTTTTTTCACGAGCTTATAGGCACTGCTTGGAAAGCTCTCCTTCTAATGAGTCATCTCCTCCGATCGGGGTTTAATCTTCTCTCGCCATCCTCATCATGTTCTCGCTCTCGACTCGAAATGCGAGGAAGAAGTCAATGCTCTGCGGGCCCAGCTTCTTGGTCTCGTCGCTTAGCTCTGCGCTGTCAAAGGTAACTTCATCTCTTCGTCGGCGCCTTACAGAAGCATATGTTCGGCATAGTCATGGTGCGCCTATCGACACTGATAATGCGCTGTGTGAGTCTCGCTCGACCTTCATAGACTTGGCCGCAATCGGGATCCTGGGACACTCGGCGGAAGATCGATTTGCCCATAGCTCACTCCTGTTCTCGCGCACGGCGAGCTCAGATTCCAGTGGCGGCGCCAGCGGGAAGCTTTGTAAGCTATAGCTTCCCAAGCCTCTGAAGTCGGGAAGCTTAGCTTCCTAAAAATTTTCCGATCATAGATATGTTCCATCGGTTTCGGAGCATTCAGACTGCTGCTGTCGATCATGCCGGGTTGAATTTCTCGAGGTCACGAGAAAGACTTGATCGCGCACATGCGCTTGGACGCACTACACGCACGCAACCCCAAAACGGGGGTTTCCTCTTTCATGATTGGTGACACCCCAGCTGATATCCGTCATCAACATCTGACCGAGAGCTGAGAACTTCCAAATCAAATCGTGGACGAATTCGCCGAAGGCAAAGTTCGGAGAATTTCCCTAGTGGTATGACTGTGATCCAGACGCTTAAGTGAGTCGTATCTCAGCTCGTCGCTAGGAAAGTAACATAAGACGGAACGCGGAAAGTCTCCGCTGTTTCTACTATGTAATGTACATAGATATGTATGATTGCATCTATGCAACACTAGTACTTGCCCTATAAAGTAAATCTTTGTGTCTCCGAGCGCGCTGACTTCCTTGTTGGGGGAAGCTCTATCCAAGAAAAATTCAAGCTTCCCAAAAAAAATGGCTGGCGCCGCCACTGTCAGATTCCATCTCTGTACTTGAGTTGACCAGGTTCCTGGAGCGGAGCCGTCCTCGCACATCTCCGCGATCGGAACTCTGATCGAGTGTCACCAGAGGTCTCGCGAATTGGAATTTTAGCAGTAGGAACCGCCTGAACGTGGATTGAATCTGGGACTCCCCAGAGAAAAATATTATTTGAAGATGCTTCTTCCCTAATTCTGTCTTAAGGCTGTTCCGGATCTCCCGCGTCTCTCGAGAGACACTCAGTGATTGACCCAACATGGCCCCGGTGTTCTCTCGTCTCTTCTTGTCCAATGTTCCATTCACACTCGAGATTGAAGGTCGGATTCTGTGATCCTCTTGAATCATGTACTCGACTGAGCGGATTTTTTCTTCCCTGGTTTTCTGTATCCTGAGAGAATTCAAGGGTGTCGACTATATTAATGCGAACTCAGCTCAGATCTGATAAATCGCGAGCTCTCCTCAACTTTCCCAGCTTCCTACCATGTGCTAGCTATGACTTTATTCATCAGGAGCTTGGAAATAGTCAGATAACTTGATGAATTTCCAGAACTTTCACGAAGGGTGTAGCACATTCGATTCCTTATAACTTCTGATGCCTCTAGTCCCCGGACGATAGCGGAGGCGCTGCAAACAATTTCACCTGCACTGTTCCATTCCGCATTTGGATTACATCAGCTGAGCGTCCGCTGAAATTTTTCCCTTGCGGATTCGATTCGGAGACAATTGGAGTTCCTGATGCTCACCACGCAGGTGTTCTCTCAGAATCAGCAAGTGCTCTGAGTGACATAATGCTGATGCGAAATGACTCATGGTCTTCGACTAGGAGCCCCCAACAGACGAGATCTCATCGCGATCTTGGTGTCAGCAAGCACTCCGGAACGGGGACGGTCATTTTCCTTTCACTGCGTATCGATTCCGATCCGACATCGCCGATAGCTTGCATCTCCGGGCGTTGAGCAACGGCGACCACGATCTGACGCTTCGATACTTGTGGGTGATCTCGAAACGAAATTTGGATTCTCAAAATTGTATAAAATGCCGACATTCTTAGTTTCGCCCACACATACTACGGTTCTCCTAAAACGCCCCCCGCATAGGCCTGACCACGGAACATCGTTCCGAAGTGAAAAAGCTGCGTTCAGGTTCTTGGAAGCGAGACCTTCGACACGGGATCTCATGGAGACGGGCTCCGCGATGAGTCTCTCATACGCTGACACCTCTCACATGAAGTCTCTGATGACTCAGGAGTGTGTGCGGACACGGGGAGCGGCGATGGGATTCAGTATCTCACTTGCGTTTTCTCTCATCCGAGAGCTCGACTATGTTCGGCTCTGCGTCTCTGCTTTTGCATTTCTCGATTCTTTGATTGACACGCGGTCTCGACGCCTCATTATTCGGGAGCCACGCGTTGGGAGATATTGCGGCCGGCCCCCGGGCGTGAGCCGCGGGGCGAAGCGCCCCCACGGCTGGTGATGAGTATAAAACGTGTCCGTGACGAAACAGGAGCAATCAAGCTTCGCCTTGGAGCTTTCGTCTTCTGGGTATCGATAATGAGGCTCACTACGTCCAGGGGAGGAGGGCCAACAAGAGGGAGATAACGGGTGGCACACCAAAAATTAAGTTTCGTAGTGCAGAGAATCGTCGTCAAACGAAAAACCTGTCGTTCATTCGGAGCCGCTCACGGAGCACCTGTGCTCGAGACCCGCACTTGCGGACCTTCCCTGTCCTCCCCGGAGAATTTCCCACAGACCGATTCAACTGTAAGAGAGCATGGAACATTCTTGTCGGATGATTCCTCATGCACAGAGCGGCCGCTCGACGTACTCCTCGATTGCCAACGGGGATGGGCGATTTATTCTGTTGTCGGAACTGTTTTTGATCGGGGTTGGGATAAATGCTTTTGCATCGCGCTGCCGGAGAGTGACTCCGCATAGCGCGATGGTTCACAACAGTGCCTGGCAGAAAAATCGGAGATCATAGATCGATGGGGCTTAAAATTTGTACACGAGGTTCCTCGACGCGGCGTTCCGGTCCTTCCGTGTCCTTGAACTCCTCATCTCTGCATCGTTCGATGAATATCCCTCAACGTATTGGGAGAAACATATGCGCAGAGCTTTTGACGTGAACCACGTCTATAAGGACACTTGTGTAAACACCGTTACGGAAAAGGGAACGGATGTGACGTCAGACACTACCCAAAGAAAAACTCACCTCCACTGCATGGAATACTCATATTTATCATTATTGCCTCCGAAGAACTCTCTCCCCAGGAGGCAAACACCTGCTCAAGAACGATTCCTTGACCTCTGCCACTGAAAGACTTCTGTGCCCGAGACGCGCGAAGATTTGAAAAGAGCCCAGAGCAGACGACGGCGAGTTACTCCGCATTCGTTCCAGCCTCTTCTAATTGCTCGAATAAGCTTCGAAATTGCTCTGGCCATATTTATGCTGTTGAGATGAACGACAGTGAAGATGGTGAATCTCTGTCCCCGTCTCCGTTCGACCTCACATCAAACCCTACTTCACCCTCATCAATCGAAGAAGGCCCGGAGACTCGTTTCATTGGCACCCCGCGCTCACCACCTCCCCTCCACCAGAAAACGATAAATCATAAACCGTATTCATTCTAATAGAAAGGCATGCTCCAATAGAACGGCACCCGTATGAGATTTCGGGAAATAGAGCGGCATGCCCCAATAGTTCGGCACACAATGTCCAAAAATGGAGAAACGGGTGAATGGAATTTCCTGAAACTTGATTTCCCCCCTCGTATACGCATTCTAGAGACATTTGAACCCTTCCAACTACAGCGGTTTTTTTCCACGAAAAAAAAACGATGCCGCGATTAATCCCATGTTGAAGCCCCATAGAGATTCCAGATACTTTCGATTTTTTTTGCGACAGCTTGCGACAGTGCTACATAGTCTTTTGCTGGATTATCAGGCTCCGGACGGACAAAAATGAAAGTCTGAGCTGCCTCGAGCTGCCTTTCTGGTGTTGTGGCGATTGGGGATGAAAACCAGGTCATCCAATCGGCAAGTGCACAACATGCACTTTTGAATTGAATGAGCGTTGCCGAATTATGGCACGGTCATTAGTCATTGTCGTCTCATCAGAGCTGCAACTATCCATTGTTAGGCTTCATCTCCAAGGAAGCCGCCGTGCAGCGCCTTGTTGTTCAGGAATCGGTGAAAATCAAGATGGAAGGCATTGACGTGAGGAATTCAGAGCTCGTAGAAGTTGTCCTCCAGGCTGGTCGTGATCTGGATCGGTGCATTGATGAGATATCTAGGCGATATCCTCGATTCAAAGCAAATGATCTCCGGTCCGTGAGGAAGTTCTTCCATCAGTCTTTCCTGCCAATCTTCAAGAGAAAGTGGAACAAGGCGCGCCGAACATCTGAAGTCTTCCTCAGTAGGCTCATCGACTCGCTCGAACAAACCCGCTGTTTCTACCTTGAAGACTCTCCCCCCAGGAAAATTCCTGAGGCACAACCGATCCAGCAAGCGTGAACTTCCACGGGCAGACCGAAAAAGTCTTCCGATGAGTGCGGTAAGAGGGCGAAGAACTACAAGGTCGAGGAGCTCCGACAGCAATGTAGTCCTTCACTGTTACGAGCAGCGGCTGCAAGCACATCGCAGGAAGAGCGTCTTCTTAAGGTCAGCTCCCCGAAAGCCTTCGCCATATATCTAGATTGTAGATTCACGAAAAGGAAATATTGGAACCTCCACGATTCGTTGAGATTGGTCCATACAGACGTGCTCCCCTCCTACCAAAATGTTCTCAAAGCCAAGAAAGATTGCTACCCTAAGAATACACAAACCACAGCGGATTCCGGCAGCATCCCGTTCCAGGATCATTTAGATCACATTGCAAAGCGTATTTTCGAGACGAAGTCAGTCTCCGAGTTGTTGGAAACACCTCATCTCACTATGACCTCCAAGTGGGGTTGCAATGGGTCCTCCGGACACAGCACGTATAAACAAGCTTTCTCGGACGATTCTGTAACCGACATATGTTCCCGACATCGTACGTGCCCCTGGTTATCGAAGGCGAATCAGGATCAGTAGCGTGGAAGAACTCGAAACCATCTTCTACGAGACTTTGTAGACCGCTAAGATTCACATTCGCCAAAGAGACACCAGAAGTTACTCGCGAGGAAGTTCAAAAAACTAAGACGGAGATTGTGCAGCTCAGACCGAGCAAGATCAAGATGGCGGGCCAGGAATTCCAGGTCGAGCATAGACTTCTACTGACCATGATTGATGGCAAAGTTGCTCAGGTCTTGTGCGACGTCCCTTCAATGGCCGTTTGTTGCGTTTGCGGAGCCCTGTCGAGCGAGATGAATAAGTTGGAAGCCATCAGTCAGAGGGCCATCTCGTCGGAGGCGCTCCAATTCGGACTATCGCCCCTCCATGCTCGCATCAAAAGCATGGAGTGTTTTTTGCACATCTCTTATCGATTGCAATTCAGATCGTGGAGAATCAACGCGAGAACCACAGCTCTCCATAACCAGCGGAAACGCGGAATCCAACAGAAATTTAGGCAGAGGCTCGGTCTGCTCGTCGATGTCGTGGGATCCACAGTAGACGGAAACACGGCCCGAAAATTTTTCGCAGATCCGGAAGTAACCTCCGAAATAACCGGCATCGATGCCGATCTGCTGCGACGTTTCAGCGTGATACTCGATGCCATAAACTGCAAGCTCCCGCTCGACAGCGCGAAATTCGGCTCGTTTTGCTCGGAAACCGCACGCTCATTCGTGGAACTGTACGGTTGGTACTACATGCCAAATACAGTTCACAAGCTGTTGATGCACGGGAAATGATAGTCGAGGAGGCGCTTCAGCCGATCGGAACGCTTAGTGAGGAAGCGCAAGAGGCGAGCAATAAGACTTACAAAGAGTTTAGACTGCGTCACTCCTGGAAGATCAAGCGGGTAGCAATCAATCTCGATGTAATGCACATGATGTTGGCCACCTCTGATCCTTTTATGGACTCAATTCGACTTGAGCCCAAAAGACAAAGTTTACTAGGGGTTTGCAGATGAAACCGGAATTTTTTTCAGAAATGAAAATATTTTTCCGGAAAAACTAAAAGGCTGACTTTATTCAAAGTATTCTCCCAAGGAGGCTATGCACCTCTCCCATCTTTCCGGGAGAGCCCGGATTCCTTTACGGTAGAAGTCTTCCTGTTTACTGCCGAGCCATTCATATAGCCATTTTCGAACGTCTTCATATGTCGAGAAGCGCTGATTTCTGAGTTCGGTGGCCATCAATCCAAATGGGTAGTAATCTGAAGGAGCTAGGTCTGGTGAATGTGCCGGGTGGTCGAGGACTTCAAAATTCAAAACAGCAAGCTTTTCCCGGACGGCTTTCGCTTGGTGACTCGAAGCATTGTCATGCAACAAGATGACACGACTTCGATCTCGGTCGCTTTTTGGACGTTTCTG